GTATGAAACATCCAAAAGGAGGATAATGCAACAAACTTTTGTTTGAATCCATGATATAGCAGTTATGAATTATTATATAGAGCTAAAAAGCCTTTTTACTTCAGGTTTTAAAGGCAGAACAGAAACACGGAGAGCAAACTGACAAGACATGTTCAGTGTTTTTAGGTTAAGCTAATATGACTAAACAGAATTAGTTAAATTTCTACTTAAAATACGAGAGAGAATGAAGTTTGAAAAAATCTGACTTAAAATCTTTTGTGAATTAAAATTTATGTTTTACTTCCAGGCATAAACTTGTATTCAGTTGTCATCAGGCTTGGTGTGCTTTGTGTTCTATGTGTGATTATCATCGACATCCTTGGATTTTTTTTTTAAAGGAGACAAAAGGTAGTTTTATGATTTGCAATATTCTGACATTTTATTAATACAAAATAACCCTACTCATGCACAATAGAACACCTTGTAGATTCCCAAAAATCTATGTCATTTATTTATTTAAGTGGATAAATTAGGACGTGGTATTAGGGCCATTCAAAGACAAAAAAGAAATGGAATTAAAAATTTTTTATGTAGTTGGAAATTTGCATGTTTATTCTCATAAATATACCACTTTATACTAAAAAATGTAAATTCAATTTCATTTCATCTATGAAACACTGTCATAAAAATAGTAATTTTTTAATTATTGAATTTTTAATCAAGGTATAAAACACATACAAAAATAACCCAATATTTTTTATGAAAATCAGAGGTGTCAAATGTATTAATGTTTATCACTCCAGTAGAAGTAGAAATCCTGCTGTTCAAAAACCCTTAGAAGAAGTTAGAGGATCAACTTTACCCCAGTAAAAGTGTAAAAGTACCATTTCTAAAACGACCTAAAGTATAAAAGTAAAAGTAATACAGGAAAAAAATGTTAAGGACAGAAGCTTTTCTGCACTAACCTATTAAAGGAAAATTTTTTCTAAAATTCTGGATGATAACTTTCTATGCCACAAAGAAATTAATTTAAATACCAACAGGCCATGAGGATAATGAGCTGAAATGAAACAAAACTAATGAGTATTTTTAAAATGTAAGTAGAAAGTAAAAAGTTGTCTAAAAAATAATGACTCCAAGTATAGATAGCCAACATTTCTTCTTAAGTAAGTAGTACAAAGTATTTGTTCTTGACACCTCTGATGAAAATATTATAAATGTGAGGATTTTATTATCTTCCAGCTCAGGATTGTGATACAAAACTTTCTTCAATGTCCTCCAAAGGTGATCCCTAGGCTACATCCACACAAATATTTCTTTATTTTATGGTAGATTTTTTTAAAATAGCCCTACATCCAATTAGGATGTAATTTAGGCATTAAATATCACTAAGAATTTTAGGTCCATTATTTTATGGGGAAATTAAAAAGCCTTTTTAGTTAAAAAAGTTTTTACATAAAATAAATACCACATATGTCCAGCAGGGGGCAGTACATAAATAGGCGGGATTGATGACCGAAGAGTAGATTGCTGTTTCCGGTTCCGCTCTCTCATTTATTGGCGGGAAGTGGCGCTTGTTGTCAGCAACCTTGGGAGGAACCGGAGTCTAAGTAGACCATGACCCGGGTTCTGAACGGAATAGTGGCGGTGTGCCCGAACCTGGGCATCGGGAAGGATGGGAAGCTGCCCTGGCATCCGGTTCGGCTCAGGTCGGTTAGCTTAGCTGCTCTGTTAGCAGCATCAGCGGAATGAGAAGGAAAACGCGCCTCATTAATGTCTGATCTTTACTTTTCAGCAACGAATTCGCTCATTTCCGGAAGATGACCTCCACACCGTCAGTAGCAGGTAACTGGATCCGCAGACCCGGTCCGAGTGGTTCTGCCACAGAGTTGGATCTTCCTCTGGAAAAACCCAGCTGGTGAATAATGATGGAGGCTCTGACTGAAAGTCTGCTTCTGCAGGGCGGCAGAATGTGGTGATCATGGGCAGGAAGACCTGGTTCTCAATCCCGGAGAAGAACAGACCCCTGAAGGACCGGATCAACATAGTTCTCAGCAGGGAGTACAAGTAAGACA